GAAGCCCACGGTCTGTACTCATTTATTCTCTTTTTCAGCATAATGTTTTTGAGATTCATCCATACTGTGGTATGTATCAGTGGTTCATTCCTTTTTTTTCTGAGTGGAATTAGTAGGCCTTTCTTTTACTGGAAAATACTCCCAGAAGGGGCAATAGGCAATCTTTCAGTCCTTTAACAGTTTAGTACAAATGAATTTTTTTGAGCAACATACGAAAAGTATATGAGCATTTGGGTAACCAGAAGTAAAGAGAGGCCTGACAGTGATAAGAGGCTGAAAGACAATTTGGGTCACTTCACCGTTTTGATTGTGTTTCATGTACAAACTCAAGAAGCTGCCTTCAGTACCAGAAAACCAAGTATGAGTAAATGAATATTACTGAATATACTAGAGGTATTTCTACTTGAGGCTCATGACAACACTGTGAATTAAATGTTATCGACTCTGGAACTGTTGGTAGGATTCAGACCTGGTCTTCCTAACTCCAAGATTCAGTTTATTCAGGTTCCTTCCAGTATGAACTATCCTGGCCACCAAGTCCCTGCCCTGCCCTGGGCTGGGGAGAGAGAGGGGAGGAAGAGGAGGGAGGAAGAGTGGGAGAGGGAGGGAGGGGAGGAAAGAGAGGAGGACAGGGAGGGGGGGAAGGGGAAGGAGAGAAGAGGGGAAGGGGGAGGGGGAAGAGGAGGGAAGGGTGGATGGGGAGAGAGATCAGGACAGATCCATTAACTCCAGCTGCCTTGGGGTTTCATGTCACAGAACCAGTCTGGGCACTTAATGGGACTCTAACCCAGCCTTGGGGTTACTGGCAGCTCCTCTCTCGTTTCAGCATGGAGGCTTCAGCTCTTAACTTTCCTCGGAATGAAGACTCTGAGAATGAGCGTAATCTTAAAGTCAATCCCAGAAAAGGTGGGGAAGTCTGAGCTGTAACCACGGCATTTTTCATATAATAACAAGTGGCCTGTGACAGGCGGAGTTGGTGGTTGGCCAGAGTGCTGACCGCAAGCTCTGGTTCCCTACAGACTGCATTCCCCGGCTTCAAGTGTCATCTCGCTTACACCACACGTGTTTACCTTTTGCACACTCTACTTCTCTCCCTTTGACCTGGTAGAGGTGGGAAGACAGAAAGGCCACTCTCAAGATTAAGTCCTTGAGACTCCTGCTGTGCTAGCAGGCTCTTTTTAAGCATTTCCCATAACCCTCTGCTATCTGCAAAATTGCTTACATTTCAGAGGTGTATTAGTTTCTTAGGGCTGCCCAGTGAAGTATCATAAACCAGGTGGCCTAAAACAACGGAAGTTTATTCTTTTACAATTCTCGAAGCTAAAAGTCTGAAAGCGAGGAGGTGTCAGCAGAGCTGGTTTCTTCTGGAGCTCTGAGCGAGAAACTCTCATGCCCCTTCCCTAGCTTCTGCTGGTTGCCGGCTGTCCTTCGTGTTCCTTGGTTTGTGTCTTCCTGTGGCCTTCTTCTTCGTGTCTGTCTCCTCCATGTCTGTGTATCTCCCCATGTTCTCTTCTTATAAGGGTACCACACTGCTGTTCATCTGTGGACACCTCATGTTAGTCCCCCGCTTCACGCTTCAATGTCCTGCTTCCGTGGTGAGTCTGGGGCTCCACACTCCATCTGGCCACTGTCTTCCTGTCCAGCTTCATCTGCTACTGCCCACACTTTGAGCTCACACTGTGCGAAGGGGCAGGGCTGTTCCACAGCTCTGTGCCTTTGTAAATTATGTCTCCTCTGCCTGAGATGCCCTCCCCTTCTTCACCCCTCTTCCTTCTCCATCTGAAAAACACTCATCCTTTAAGCCTCTTGCCCCCTGGTAAGGGCTGCCCTGAATGCTGTGGGGTCATGTTGACTGTGGCCTTTGGGCCCAGGCGTGGTCCTTGCGTGTTACTCTGGCATAACATCTAACAGTGCGTTGCTTCTGTTTCATTACTGCCCGTCTCTCCACCAGACTGAGCTCCTTTAAGACAGTTTTCTTTTGCGCCCCCAGCACAGTTATACAGAAGATCATCCACAGCTTCTGAATGGCTGAATAAACACAGAAATTCCCTTCAGGGGATAGAGGCCAACTCGTATCTTTCTCATACTTGCAGTATACTTCCTACAGTGCTTGGTGTGTAATTGGCTCTCAAATGCTTCCTGTATGGTTTAGCGATTGAATGGAAAAGCCACTATTAGTAAGAACCTGGTGGTTCACTGGAGTTAATTGAGGTCGGAGAGGGAGACAGGTAGCACCTCCCATCTTGTTAGTATAGAAGTGAAGGGAGAGAAAGGGGGAGCCCCTGGCATGAGGTTCTACAGCCCTGAATTCTGAGGTAAAGTTGGTAAAGGGGTCAGGACTAAGACATTGGTAGAACTGTCCATGTTCCTAGTTCATTCTTGCACTCAAGAGTGGAGTTCAAAGCGGTGTTGGTTGGTGGGGTTGGTAAGGGAGGTGTCAGCAGGGATCTGGTTCTGGAACTCACAGACTGAGGCTGACCTGGGCCCATCCTCCTGGAAAATGACCCCCCCCCGCCTTGCTGGCCTTGCGGCTGAATGAAGGTCCTCTCCAGCGTTAGACTGGCCTTATTTTTAGGGGGAACAAGGTACCCTTATTGTGAGGCTCTCGCACTCTCTTCTCTCTTCATTTCCAGTCACGTGAGCTTCCCTTCTGTGTCCCTCAACAATGCTACCTGTCCCTTGAAGCCAGGTAACACTCAAAAGAGGACAACTAGAGCTGGAGTTATACCTGGGTTTCCAGACTATTTCTTCCATTGATTTTCAACCTTGTTCTCCACACCATTTTGGCAGGACAAGGGACCCAGCAAATTAATGATTTCATCTATTGTCCCCCTCCTTGTCCCCCTCAGGGGCATCTCAGAATTTCTCTCCTATTCTACTCTCTCAGTCTCCCCCATCTCACCTCCCAGACAGCCAGACCCCAGGGGATTCTGGCGGTAGGACTGGGGCTAGGACAAGCCCACAAAGTAAAGAGGTGCTCAATTTCAGGGCTAAGTGTCTCCCTAAGTGTTGTGCTCTGGGTGCCTCGCCCCAGTCCTGGCTTGGTGCTGGGCTGGTGTATTGATAAAGGGATGGGAGGAGAAAAAGAGGTTAAAAGGAGGGTTGAAGAGAGAGAGCTAAGAGGACAATGTGGGAAATCTAAAGTCAGTGGCCAAGTGAAGAATAATGGGTGCAGGTGACTGAGGGCAGTGCTTTAAAACAAGCATCCCCACAAAGCTCTCACATACACAGCCCTGGACCCACCAGACAGATGTCACCCAAAGAATAAGGAACAACAGGAAAAATAAAATATTCACTCCTTCACGTGAGGTTTCCCTGAGTCTTATTCTAGGGAGGGGTGGGGAGGGGAATCCCCAAAGTCTTTTCTCCTCTGCTTTTACTTCCCCCTCTGACTTGACACCTTTTCTTGATGTCAAGAACTTCACCCTAGATGTGGTGATTCAGACTCCTACAGCGTGGAGCTGGAAGAGCCCTTAAAGATGGCTAATCCTATGCTATCTGTGTGGAAGCCACTAGCCGCAGAGGGCTTTTCCAAACTGGCTAGTCCAAACTGGCAGATACCGTAAGTATAAAATACACACTGGACTTTTGAGGATATAGTTTGAAATGAAAGAATGTAAAATAGCTCACTAATATTTTCAAAAAGACTGATTACATGCTGAAATGATAATGTTTCGGATCTACTGGGTTAAATAAAATATATTATTAATTTCCCTGTTCCTTTTACTTCTTTTAACATGGCTGCTAGAAAATTTAACATTACATATGTGGCTCACAATTTTGACATATTTATTGGACAAGGCTGGTCTAGTTCAACTTCCTTCTTTAACAGAGGAGAAAACTGAGGTCCAGAGAGAAGACCTGACTTAGCAGGTGGTACGCACTAAAAGGCACTGTCATTTTCAGTTCCCACCAGTCTCTCAGTTCCCCTTACACCCAACCCCCCTCCCCCATCCTTAGGAGTCCTGGGGAAAGAAGCAGGTAGACTCAACAGATGGCTGCAGGCCTCAAGGGAAGTGTTCCAAGACTCAAGACATTGGCTGTGGTTTCCTGAGAGTGAAATAAAAAACCTAACAAAGGTGGAGGGAGGCATTGTCTCCAGAAAGTCACATTTTAAAAGCCCGTTAGACTTTGGAAACTTGGGGTGTGAGGAGTGAGGAGAAAGCTGGGGAACCCTGGGCCTTCCCCCGTTGATTCACATGCATAGTAACACAGGTTGATTTGCCAGGTGTGCTAATTGGTGCCTCAAAAGCACACAGCTCCCCTGCCCCAAGGCACTTGGGTAGAACCTTGCCCAGCCCTGACACCGAGGGGCCAGCCACTTAAGGATTGTTTGACAAGTAAACAAAGACAAGCTTCAGTAGGATTGGCTTGATAATGGGAGCGGAGTGGGCAGCCCAGGGAGTGGGAACCAGATACCAAAGGCAAATTCCTTCATTTCACAATTTTATCTGGCATCCCCATTCTCAACCTGCATTGTGAGGCTTTGAGGTAGTTTGGAAAGTAGATAATGATCTCTCCGCCCGGGGGCAGCACTAATGGGGCTCACCTGAGGACGTTTCTAACAAGTGGAGCACGTAGCTAACTCGGGATACCCGCCCCGCGGAGGTTTTACTGGTCCTCTACGTCGCTCGGGCTGGTGGCCCTGAGAGGCGGACACCTCCTCCTTTCGCGCACCCGGTTTCCCAGCCTGCCCTGATGGGGTGAGAGCCGTGGAGAGATAGGGAAAGGCCACTTGGGGTTCAGCTCCCCGTCCTATTTAGTCGAATAAACACGGTAAATAAGTATTTCCCTCACCCCCTTACACACACACACGCGCGCGCGCTGTGGGACCCAAGAGTTAACATAGGTCCTACGACCTGGCCAGCCCTTTCCTTTGGGCGACAGGAGTGCCTGGCGGAGAGCGCGGGTGTCGCTCCTTCCCGGAGGTGACAGCTTTCGGGACCGAGAAGGAGCGGTGCCTCTGGCCTCTTTCACCCGGTGCGTGGGGGACCAGCCGGCGTGCTAGTCTCGGAGCCCTCTGATGAGCCGGGCGGGGCCGCGGTGCCCTCCTCCCCATTTCAAGGGTGACTGTGCCGCTGACGTCAGGCGGCTTTTAGTTCATTCCCTGGCGCGGGGACTTTATTTTCATAACAGCACGCAGTGCCGTGGAACTGGAATAGGCGTGTCCTCTCTCCCTGACCCTCTCCCGCCCCTGTCCCTCTGCTCACCCCCTCGCACGTTCCCTCCCTCCGACCGCCGCCTTTATAACTGCTCGGCGCCGCGAGGTCGAGATAGCCGTCGCGGGCTCCCCAGCACCCAGGGGCTCCGTGCTGCCTCTAACGCGCGGGAAGCGGCGGGAGTCGAAGCGTCAAAGCCAAGGCACAAGTGAGGCGCAACGAGCCCCGAGCGCGCCCCGCCTCCGCAGGTGAATCTTGGGGACAGTGCAGTTGGGCGGGGTGGGATGCAGCAGAGCAAGCCTGGGATGGACGACAGCTGGCTATGAGCAAAAAAGAATCCCAAGAAAGAACTTCTGCTAGTTTAACTCAATTAAGTTTTTTTTTTCCCCCGTGGGCTTCTCAGGCTAAGCTAGAAGCACAGCAAAATGAGTAGTTTCTGCTCAGACACATTGTACACACTCTTAACAGGTGGAATCTTGGCCATGCAAGTGAGCAGTTCTGGGCTTGCTCTAGGGGAAAGGAAAACCGAGAAAGATCTTAGAGGAAGGGAAGGGACTGGGGTGGAGAGGGGTGGGAACTGAGGGAGTGAGGTGGGGAGGGGGGGGGACAGGAATGGGGAAATCGTGACAACTGCTACTTTACACAGCTGCTTAAAAGTTCCCCATTATTTTGTCCTTCTACAAGAAGTGTGCCCTTCTGAATTTTGGGAAGTAGATTCTAGAAGCCAGATTCTCTTCATGTGAGTGTGGGGCCGTCAGCTCCACAGTATTCTCTCCCCGGCAGTCCCTCGAGTTGCTCAGCATCCCCCGGCAGATGAAAGTTGAATGTCCAGTAACAGCCCACCTTCTCCAACAACTACATAGGACTTGGAATTGGCCCCAAAGCTATCCAGGATAGCCCCTAAAACATGCAGTGGGGGAAGGAAGGGCTCGCAAAGAGGGGAAATCTACTCAGTTTTAAGGACTTTGAAGGACTTTCCATACCTGAATTCTCTCCAGACTGATTTTCTCCTCAGAGGGTTTGTAACTGCCACACCTGTTGAAGGGTTTGGCTGAATCAGCCGCTGCTGCGGGCTCTTTCCTCAAGGGGAATACTTGAACCACTTTAGATACAATGGCCTGGGGCCCATGGAGGGCTGAGGATGGAGTCAGAGTTCCACCTTCTAGTGCTGTGTGCTGGCTGCTTCTTGGAGAGAGAAGGAATGCAGGGAGAAAGGGTCAGGAGAGGTGTTACCTGGGAGACAGAAAGGCTCCAGGGTATGGAGAGTTGTGTGCTCCTAGGGCAGTTGGGAATGAGCAGAACTCAGAATGAGCAGGACATTCCTGGGAGGTGCTCTCAGCCTGGGTCAGGAAGTCTGATTTCTCTTTCTGACTCTGCCAGGACCATGTAGCTAGCTATGAGGAGGCAAGGGCCTGGGCCTTAAATTCCTCCTAAGGAATCTTGGGAAGGCCCCCAGCTCCCTCCCAGGCCAAGATTCTAGCACCTCTGTAGCTGCACGTGTCCCTTGGGAGTCCTCTGTGGCGTCTGTGTCTTTGTATTTCACTCTTTAGTGGTAATCGGAGGTGACAGGGTATGAAGAATTTTGACTGCGATTTTATTCTCATTCCGAGATTTTGTCTTCAGGTTCACTGCTATTTAAAAATCCACAGATTGAGCTGAGAGAATGGGCAGGAAATGATGTTGGTATACTTAGACCTTTAAAAACAATGAATTGAATAGTATTTTCGCTTGAGGTGGGGTCGCAAATTTTCTGAGTAGTTTGATGTGTTTGGTTCTACTTTTTATTGCCTTGTGGTCAGACTATATAGTTTGTACATTTCTTATTTTAAAATTTCAGATTTTTTTTGTGGCCTAAAATATGTTGTTTTGGTAAATGTTCCATGAGCACTTCAATAAAGGCAAATCTTATAGAGCAGGGTTAAGTAAACTAGGTCCATGGCCAAACACATCCCATATCCTCTTTTTGTAAATAGTTTTATTAAAACACAGCTGTGCTCATTTATCTACATATTATCTGTGGGTGCTTTCAACTACAAACATGGCCTCCAAAGCCTAAACTACTTATTATCTGGCCCTTTACAGAAAATGTTTGCCAATCACAGATATAGAGGATCTAAGTTATATGATTAATAGTGGAGATCTAATAAGTTATAAAGATAGAGAATATTTTGATTAAAATATCCATAGAACATTTGTAAGAATTTATATTATTATTCATTTTGTCTATTTCATCTGCTGAGGACTGATAAGTTTCAAAGTCTCCTCTAATTGTCCTGCTTCTCTCGATTTCTCCTTGTATTTCTGGTATTTATTGTTTTAAGTGTTTTGGTGCTCTATTATTCAGTACATAAAAGTTTATGATGGTTATATCTTCAGTGTGGAGTAGTCCTAATTATTATAATATAATAACTTTCTGCCTTGACTAAACTTTGTGTGATATTAACACTTCAACTCTTACTTAATTTTCTCACTTTGAACAAGCTATTTAACTTTGTACCTGATACATAATACTTGCTAAATAAACATCTATTATCATTGCTTTTTTGCACTTATTTTCATTTTTCCCTTCTTTTTACTTTCAGCTCCTTTGAATCCTGTTGTTTAGGTGAAGTTCTTATAGGTATAGTATAGTTTAGTCTTTCTTCAAAATAAAGTTACCATTTACATTTATTGTAATAATAGTTGTTTGCTATTGTCATCTAATTTTTGGCCATGTGGTCTACTTTCTTCATCTTTTCCCACATTAGATAGTCTGTATTATATTTTTAGATCTACTAGGAGCCATTCTCAGGGCTTAGAAATACATGAGTGTAAGGAGATATGATAAGTTTGGCTTAGGGATTATTGGATCAAATATGAATACGTTACCTTTATATATTGAAATAAAATCCTTAAAATAAGGTGACTTTGAGAGCTTCGAGATGGTATATCAGTAGAGGACTTCACTTTATCTACCCACATATTTTCTGGAAATTTCATTTCTTAAAATTCTGAGTCTAACAGATTTGGAAGTTTCACTCATAATTTTAAGCTAAAAAAATGACTTCCAATATTTTGTTTTATATTCCAGTAATTTATTTTACATTAATTTGAAGTTCTAATGCTTTGTTTAGAATAGAGAAAGATGATAATATCCTCAGGGAAGTACCCCCAAATGAAGAAATTGGGATAAATACTGTTGTTATACTTGTTTAGATCTATGATGGTGTGATGGTTTATTTTCTCTATTACAACATAGAAACTCAATTCAGTGATGTCATTCAGATATTATCCATAAGCCGTTGCCATGATGCATCACTTTCACGTCATCAGAATTTGGATGGCTACGCAGAACATGGGATCCTGGAGATTTGGCTACAGACATTCTCCAGTTGTAACTTATCCTCCATCAAGGGCAGAGAAATCTCTGTAGGACCCCACCCTTGTCTTAGAATGCAGCCTCGATAAAAATAGGAGGATCAGCACATATTCATCTTCAAAATTCTTCCTCCCCATTACTCATACTTGCTGATAAATAACTTCCTTTAAGTAAATGTTTGGTGGCCAGTCTTAGTCCAAAACTGTTGCTCAGAAAACACTGTGCAGCGCATAGTGACGGGGGACAAATAGAAGATTTGCTCCATTTTCTTAAGAAGCTTATTATCTGATAGGCAAGTCAGCATTGACATTATGTATAATATATAACATATATGGAAAAACGTGAGTGTCAAGAAGAACTTAATTGTAAAAGCTATGAAGAGACCCCCAAATTTAAAATGAGACAGGACTAATAATTTAAAGAAACCTCAAAAAAAAAAAGAAAAAAAAAGAAACCTCAAGAGAGGTAAGTTTTGGGACACGTTTCAAAGAAATATGGTAAATGAATTGTGAATAGGAGGGGTGGAGAATAATGCATGTGCTGAAGCAGAGGAAAGAGCGTGACTTTGTCAGAAAAGGCCTTGGATGATCCCCAATTCCCCTCCAGACAGGAAATGCTCTCAGATTTTTTCACTTTGCATAGAAGTGGAGAGGGGAGTTAGGAAGGCTGGAGATGGTGGAAAGACCTGTTGGAGAAAAGCCTTGAAGCTCAATTTGAGGCTGAATCCTTTGTAATAGGCAAAAAGGAGCTAATATCCTTTTTAACTGCTAAATCCAAAGACCCCTTCCCGGGCCTTCTCTTCTTTGCTCCCCTCACAGCATTTAACTCCACTGACCCCTTTTTTTGGGGATGTGTTGTGGGGGACTGCTCTTTGGCTTCTGGAAAATCACCTAGGCTTATTTCTTTTACTAACCCCCAATAGTTTCTTTTGAATCCTTTGCTGATTCCTGCTTTGCTGAAATGGTGTTCCCATGGTTCTGCCCTCGGCCCTCTTTGCTCATCATAGGTGCTGCCTGTGTGATCTGGTCCCCTTTCAGATGCCTCCTATAGGCTCAGTCTGTGGGTGCCGGCCAAACCTCTCCTGAGCCCCAGACCAAGTACAGAGGAGGTCAGTTCAACCTGGTGTCTAGCAGCCTGGCTTTTCAGAGCCATGTGACCTTGGGGACGTTATTTAATTTCTATGTGCCTCAGTTTCCTCAACTACGAAAAGAGGGCATAATAATAGGGTTGTTGTGGGCATTAAATGAGACACTGTGTGGTCCAAAGTAAACTCTCAGGAGAACTTAGCGCTTGTTCTTCCTGGATCCCTCTAATTACATGTCCCATATTCACCTTAGATTCAATAAACCTAAACTTGGCACCGCCCCTCATAAGCCTGTATTTCTAAGCTCCATTCAGTTGCCTAAGCTAGAAATCTGGGAATTAAGCTGGACTCCGTCATTCCTCAAGTTCTATCTCTTTTATATTCCTAAAAATCTCACACCATTCCCTGCCCAAGTCTTTCATGACTCTTCTCCCTGGTCTCTTGTCTAAAGCCTTTTTAAAAAAAATTTCATTAGGTAGAATGGGTCACTGTTTTCTATGTGCCCTCAGCATTCCCTGCACACGCTGTAACTTCTTAGTTGTACGTCCGTGTGACTCTATTGGTCATCCTAGGGGTGGCAGCCACACTTGTGATCTGAGTGACTTGTACACTTAAAACAGTACCTAACACAAAGTAGACACTTAAACGTTTGTTGATTGACAGGAAAATTGACCAACTGCAGGACTGCTTGCTTTGGAGACTTCTTGGAGAATGTTTAAATGGAGAGAGGCTGGATGGAGTCAGGGAGAAAATCTTCAGAGATCATAACAGAGATTTAGAGATGAAATGACAGATTACATTAAGAT